TAACAAACTACATTATAAAAGAAATGTATAGTATACTAATCTAAATACATACAGTATATACACAATAGATAATATTATTATAAATTTAATAATAAAAACTTCTTAATATATCAAAATTTTAAAAATAGATAATATGGTATGTCTAAAATATTACATTTAATTGGACTTAAATTTGTAAAACATGTATTGATAGGCATATGCTATAAAATTAATGAGAATATGTAGAAAATTTCACTATAGCATATCGTTTTAATTGAAATGTTATGATTGGTTAAATTAAAGAAGAAATTTGAAAAACTACCTCTTTATGTTTTTTTAATTTAAAAATACACCTTTATTTATAATTTTTGAAAACTACACTTTTTGAATATTAAATTTACTAAAATGATCTCAATAAAACTGAAATATATATATATATATATATCTTTTAATTTAAAATAAATTATTTTGTAATGATAGTATTATTTATTATGATAGTCTCCATTTTATCCTATAATAATATTTATGTAAGATTTTTGACGTTTTAAAATTGCTTATTTGTTCTTCCATCATGATCATACTTGTGTGATCTTTTGGTTTGATTTGCATTTTTTAATAAACTTATGTTTTCAATTTCTATAAACTCAACTATTTCTTGTTCGATTTTAGCTTGTAGATGAAATTTTGATTGATATCTCTTGAACTTTTTTTGATATCTCTAGAACTTTGAGTACAACTAAAGAGGAAAATCAATTTTCAGACTTGTAGTCTTTACCAGATTCGTATTTTACAGTATCCATAATCTCACACACAATAATTATCTGAATTTCAACTCTTCAAATTTCCTCTCTTGTCCACCTTCGTATTTTATCATTGTATTTGTGTTATTAGACTGTTCATCTTTTCAACTTCTGACTAAATTCTACTATGTGTTACACTTTCTTTATATATTCACAAACAATTGATGAATAGATGAAAGTGTGGCATATAATAATGAAAATATCTAGAGATATATTTTGTTGGAAGTCATTCGATTTGTTCTTGTCAGATTTAGATAGATCTTTCATTTTTTATTTTAGATTGTTGGTTTGTCACGCT